AAGGATCAGTCAAATCAAATGATAATAAAAATATCCTCTCTATAAGATTTTCCATACTGAGACCATTATAAACATACCCATACTTACCCGTTTATTATGTGAGATGAACTCACATGTTGAGACATAGTTGTATTGTAGGGAGCTGGAATCTTATTCTAGTAGAAGATTATTACAAACCCAGAAAATTTCAGCTCATTTGGACCTATAGTTCCTGAGATAATCGCTTTAAGCTGAAACTTTCAGGGAATATTACCTATCCTAGTAGAGGCATTTTTTGAAATTTTTGGTATTTTTGGACATTTTTTTGGAATATTCAGGGATTTTTTGGAATTTTTTGTACAAATTTGCTCCTCGGAAACATCATAACTTTTATTTGTGATAAAAATAATAAATACCTATTACAAAAGACATGTACCTATACAATTTTTTTTGTGGTTACAAATCAATCAAAGTAACAATCAAAATAACAATAAAGTTAAAAATGCAAACAATATCATTGAATAACATCAAGATTAAAAGTCTATTATAAAGCCTTTGGACAGTATCAATTCACGCATCTTGTTTTTGAAGCTTATGCCACCAAAATTTTTCAGATTGTCTGGTATTTGGTTAAACACTTTTGAGGCCTGGTAGGAAAATCCCTTTTTTAAAAACTCACTATGGTGAGTACACTGAGTTTTTGTTGTGATTATCTAAGTTGTAAGGGGTGTGCTTCTGAACGCAATCGTACTTTGTCATATAAATATTTGGGCTGTTTAGTCTTAATTAGTTTATGTATAAGGCAACACAAATGTAACCATCTTCTTCGTCGCATGTTTAACCAACCGATGTTCTGCAGATATGGAGTTACCTATATGTTCTTTTTTTGGAACGTGACAGAAGTATCGAACACAGGAATTCTGAAATTTTTGCAATCTTTGCGTGTCTGCAGCTGTTAAACAAGGTCCATATATGTATATAGTATCACCATCATCAATTTGCTTAGCACTAAGGTATCACATAGTTTCAGTTTTGCCTCCCTTGGCAGAAAGTCTTTAATTCTGTCCAGGCACTTCAGCTTGCCAAATGCCAACTTATTGATGATGTAACTGCCCTGATGTGCATAGTTCAACTTCTGGTCCATTCGCAGGCCAAGGTTTTAGTTTGATCCATGACCCCTTTCCACTGTTTGTGAGCATGAAAGGTAGTAAAGGTACGTTTTAGAGATGCCCTTCAATTCGACAGGTTGTTGCCTCTGTGATAAGTACTGCTTAAACCATTCCCAGGCCATTCCTCTAATACCATGGTGATATAGTTTGGCTATTAGTAAGTCATAGTATATGCTATCGAAGGCCTTTCTCATGTCCAACAATACCATTATGGTGGCCATTCCTTGGTCCTGAGCTGTTATATTATCATCAAAATCTTAAATAGTGCAGTTCCAGTGCCATATAATCTTCGAAAACCTGACTGAACTGAGTGACGGATATTGTGGTCTTCGATAATCGATATACTGCATTATTTGATTGTGCACGACTTTTTCAATAAATTTTGATGTTGTTGGTAGGATGCTTATAGGCCGAAGGTTCGTAAGCCCTGCCGAGTTGGTAGATTTTTTTAATGGCAAAATTTTAGATGTTTCCCATATGGTGGGAATATTTCCTGTATACATTGATATGTTGATAATGTGACAGTTCCCTCTTGCAACATAGGAAGCATAGTTTAAGCATGGATAGATTGATATTATCCAATCCCATAGCGCAGGCTTTAATGGTGGTAAAAATCCGTTAGAGGTCACTTGTGTCGACTAGTTGAAATGCAAATTCTTGTCTTTCCTGTTATGATCTATAGAAGACGTCCTGTAGAGCCGCGTCGCTGCTGATGTCCCTTGCACCTTGCACAGTTAATAAAAAAAGTATTTATTTCATCAACATTTGTTCATCTGTGGTTGGGCTATCTTTGTCTTTTCTTGATGTCACGAAAACCCATTGTTTGATAGTTTATCAGAACGATCCTTTAGTCTTCTTATGGCTGAGAATTCGTAGTATGCTTTTTTTTCACCGCTTTGTTAACGTAGTTTCATATATCATGGAAGTAGCATCTGTCGTGAGCAGTCTTGTTTCGCATGATGCTTGATTGCGTAGCCGTATAATCTGCTTCAGGTTGTATGTCATCCACGAGACCAGGTCTCTCTTCAGATTACCGGCACGTAATGATGCATGGAGATCCAATAATGCAAGAATACATCCGTTTAGGTAGGTTAGTTTATCATCAATGTTCTCTAGGTAGTAGACATGTTGCCAGTTTATTAGTTGTGCATCTTGAGAGAATGGTTGCATGACAATATGTTTATAGTTTTTCATGTATTCAGTTTGGTTTTCACAATAATTGTCTTCGACCAGAATATTCACAAATGGTCAGATAGGTCAACAATAATGGTTCCACTGTCTTCGATTACCATTTCAAACGTAACACAAATGATGTCCAGCCAGCTACCTGTGTCGGCTGTGTCATGTGTTATAATACATACGTGTGGGATTTTCTATTATTCGGCTTAAATTGTAAGCATCCATTAACAAATTAGCTCTTCTGTGTTTTGATTGGTTTCAAACAGGTTTATGTTCAGATCACCTAGGTGAATGACAGTTGTATTTTATCGTAACAGCCCTCAAACTGTTTTTTAAGGTTATTCAGTGGAAAATGTCTATATGGTCTATGAACTACACCAATTGCATATGTATATCTTCCCCGTTTAAATTACAGCCAGAGTTGTTCCAGAACGTCTGTGCTTTAACTTAGGTCAGGAATGTTTCTGTTCCTTTTTGGCGAAAACAATACTCTTCCCCCTTTACTTTGCGTTTTATCTTGCCTGATAATATAGTTTCAGTTTGGGATATTAATATCACTGGAGTCAATCTGTGGCTTTAACCAGGTTTCACTAAAAACAGGGATAAATGTTTTGAATGATGTAAACTTGTTGTGCATGGATCTTACGCTGAGATGCTCTTGGAAGCTTTGGTGGTGATGAGCATTTTGTTCTATTTGCTATGCTGACGAATCTTCATAGGCTATTTTTTTATCTCGAATGCTTACAATTCGTAGATATACAGGACACTGTTGATCCCGATTATCAAGGTTGGTTTCGTACTTCTTTTGCTTCTCACACTTGATATACTTTTTCTCTATCACTTGGCAGTCCTTATATGAGTGCTTCTGACCACAATTTGGACAAAGTGTCTCTTGTTTATAATCTTTGGCATAATGGCCATATTCGAAACACTTAAAACATTGCAGAACGCTGATGTGGTTAAACACCATTCCTCTAGACCATCCAATTTTGACTGTTCGTTTGTTCATCAGAATGCTATGTGTTTTTGGATTTACTCTTCTAGAATAATATCGATTCTTTTTCTTCTCTTTGCATATATTTTTAGTATCTTCATATCAGATTCGTTAGCTTCCAAATTATTATGTTTGATAATTCTATTTACAACTTCTTCATCACTATCTTCTCAACTCACCTCCTCATTATCAATATTAGCAATCTTCAACTTTGGTTTCTTCAGTGCAGGTATTTCGACATGATATTCATCGCCTAGTTCTGCAGTTATCTGTTCTTTTAATACCTTGATATCCTCGTTGTTATCACATCCAATCACAACAGCCCCATTATCAGCCTGTTCAAACTTTGATATATTTAAATTATCTGGGTTCACCTTTTCCCTTATATCCATCTTGGTTTGTTTGCTTGACTGCTCTGCTCTGCTCTTGGTGTAATCACCATTACTGACTCAGGTCTGCCTCTAACCGCAACTGCGTAGCCTATTTTCACGGCTCGGTTACTATTAATTTCTTCCCTTGGATATTCTACCCTATCTTCATTAGCCTGTTGCCGACGTAGATAGAAAGCTGAAATTTTCAGGGATTCTTATCCGAGTAAAGAACTACAATCCCTAAAAATTTCCGATCATTTGAACTTATAGTTCTTGAGATGAAATCGCGTTCAGCATTGTGGGGTGAATTTATCCATTTTCAATTTCCCTGGCATCCTTTTTCCAAATATTTCGGCTTCAATTCTCAGAATAATGTATGGAGTGGGGGGGACTGAAATGGACATTCACACAAAATCTCAACGTAAAAAAAAAAATTGAAATTTCATCATTTTATTACTAAGGTAAGTAGGCTACCTTTTGACTCGGATTTTCGAAAACTTTGAAAAATCATACTTTTTTTTCTATTATAGATAGAAAGCTGAAATCTTTCTCATTTGGACCTTTAGTTCCTGAGATAAAATCGCGTTAAGATGAAACTTCCAGGGAATCTTATCCTATAATAGTAGAGGATGGAATTTTTTTGTAATTTTTGGCATATTTTGGCATTTTTTGGAAATGAATTTCATCATTAAGTTAATACCTCTGATGTTAGAGAATTCTATAATTATTGAACTTGATGTCGCACTCTTAAGATTAGCTGAAGAAAAGAGTACTTCAGCACGAATAAGTCGGGGCCGCCAGGACTGTATTCATTTGAAGTGAATTTTCGCTGGACAATTTGCAAGACAGAAAGACCACAGATGAAACTCGGAACTTATATACAAGGGTGTCCATATGCTGGGCACAAGTCAAGAGGCAGAATAAATCTGAGATGGCAGGATTAAACAGGACAAGTGACTCAAAGAGCTTGCTAGCGAGAATTGGAACAGGATAGATGGAAGAAGAAACAGAGAAAAATCGTGAAATGACACAAGAAGAAATTGTTTCTCTTTCAGCTTAGAAGATTTATATCTGAAAAACTATAACAACCAACAACTAGCTACCCAATTTTTTCTATAGTATTATTTTTGAATATCTTATTTTATTATTGGAATATATTTCTTTCTAATTCAATTCAAGCTGGAAAATGTATGTTCAACTCAGTCATTTTGTATTTTGGTCACCTTTGCCTCAACACTTATATTCATTCCTCTTGTCTCTTGTGACGAATTTAATAATGCTTGTCTCATTTTATAAATCTAATTCTAGGTCCAAAACCAACCAACAGACGATCCAGAAAACCTGGCTTAGATAGAAAGCCGCGTCAGGCGTACAGTGCGAAACAACTAGAACGACTCGAAGGCGAATTCAAAGTGGACAAATATTTGAGCGTCAGCAAACGTATGGAACTATCAAAGGCTCTCAATCTGACCGAGGTGCAGATCAAGACCTGGTTTCAAGTAAGAATCTTTGTTTACTAAAATTTAACCATACATTACCTAGTGGAGTTTTTAGATAATAGTAATAATTGTTTGAAATTCAATTAGTTTTATGCCAATTAATTCTTGTTCTAGAATCGTCGCACCAAATGGAAGAAACAACTAACCACCAGATTAAAAATGGCCCAGCGGCAAGGCTTATTCCCACCGCACTATTTTGCACCAGCCACATCTTCGCATCAGCAATACCCGCCAATGTTTCCGCCATATTATACTCCATTGATGTTTGGAGTGCCTGCAATGGAAGATGTTACAAATAATCCTCAAGGAACGGCTGCCAGAAGATAGGATTATTTGCCAGTATTTTGTATATTATTGTAAATAAAGTTTATAATAAGGAATCAACCTAGTAGAAAACAAAATTTATTCACAGCAAAACTAGAAAACGATGTTTGCAACAATTATAAACACTGAAATTAAAAGCACTGATGATGTATGAATTACTGCACCACTATTATCAGTGTTATCATTATTATCATCTGCTAAAAACTGTCTTATATCTTCCTTTAACGTTTTCGCCCATGAAATAATATCTTTCGCAGATACCAAAGCCTTTTCAGCAGTTACTTTATGAGTGTCTAATATTCCAGTTAAATTCACCAAAGCTTCCACTTTTACTAGTTGGTCTTCGTCGTATATGTAATTAGCAGCACTTGAAATGAGGCTTCCACAGTTGGAGTAACTACAAAAAAAAAACTCAATTAATTGCAAAATTTAAAAAAACAAATACATTCTTACGCATCATTAAGTGTCTGATAATTTTCAGCAATAAATTCAAGGGCAGCATTTGTTCCAACTTTACCACTACTGAAGACGTATGTCCAAACCGAGGTAAAATCTTGCAATCTAATTCCTGCGGTTTCATTAAGTGTTTGTCCCAAATACCATTTCAATGTGGCGGTGTCGTTGGTACAGCCCAGTCCACTCAAAATGGTCAGGATCTCGGACATTAGTTTGGTTTCACCGAACTTAGACCATAAAAAGTTGAAATCGGTTGCTATATTATCGCTGTGTCGTAGAGCGGTGCAGTAGACTAAGTTTCTTAGATTTTTGGGAACTCTATAAAATAAATTTGCATATTATTGGTACATGATGAGCTTAGATATTATAGGTAGGTATATTAGATTTATACTATGTTATGAGTGGGACACATTTTAAAAAGTAGAAAGGAAATAATTATTAGACGATTTGATTGGTATTGAAGAAGCACCTATTTATTTAGCAGGAATATGCACCAAAAACGTTATTCTAGTGTCTGTATCGAACATCCTCCCAACCATCCTGTCTGTCGGCTATTGAACGATATCTAACCAAGATCAAGAAGACTACTAGCAGCTATCATCCCAAATGCCAATAAACGAAAGATCCATTTCCAGAAAGAGGCCAATCAAGAATTAGAAGCTTCAATCGAAATACATAACATAACTAAACTAAAACAGACAGAAAGGATTTACTTGCCTGAATATTAACATTCAAGGACATTCGTGGCTACAGATGAAAATGCACTTTGATTATTATCAGTAAGTTGATAATGTCTGATCAAAATTGCCAATTAACCCAAACTAACTAGGTTAATATCGGTAAGTTTGATAATGATAACGGATTGAAATAAAAATGCGTGTGTTTCCCGCACGCTGGTAGGAAAATCTATCGCACATTCTACTACGCGGCAATTCAATAACAGCTGTTCGGAGTGCTCCAACCCAACTGTTCGGAGTACTCCAACCCAACTGTTCGGAGTACTCCAACTGTTTGCAGTGAACCAACTGACCGGAGTACTCCTACTGTTTGGAGTACCGCTAAGATCGGAGTAATCTAACTGTTTGGAGTACTCCTACTGAGCGGAGTACTCTAACTGTTCGAAGTACTCTTACTGATCTTAGTACGCCAACTGTTCAAAATACCTCCAACTATTGGGAATACTCCGAGTACACCAACTATTCGGAATACTCCGGTTACTCCAACTGTTTGAGTACTCCAACTGTTTGGAGTACTCCGAGTATTCTTACTGTTCAGACTACTCCAAGAGTTCGGAGTACATTGTCAAACTTACCGATAATAACCAGGTTAGTTTGCAATTTTATTCAGACATTACCAAACTTACCGATAATAACCCGGTCATCATTTATAATGCCGTGTGGGCAATCTGATATTTTCTATATAATTCATTATTTTGTCATAATATCTCTTATTTGGGCACTTTCTAAATTTCCCGGGCATTAAATTTAATGCTCAATTATTTACATTGCTCGTAACAAAATACAATATTAAAAGAAAACACTACTACGAACTGATTTTTCATTCAAAACTTGAAACGAGTCCGAACAGTAAACAAAGACGTTAACTGTCATAAAAGCATAACATCGAAATCAAAGGAGCCAGAGTACATCTTGGTCTGTAGCCGTGAGTTTCAAGGACTAGTACGGATTAGGTGGACGGGTTAGTTTGGGTTGGTTTGCATACTTTTGGTTAGTTTCGTTACAGTTCGTTTATTACTAGTTATAAGTGTACTGGTTAATAACAAAACGCGCAAAGCGGAAACGGAATGCGAGCAACAAGAACGGATTTCAGATTTGTGATTAGCGACTAAAATTATACCTTCCTACAAAAAATTAACAAATTCGGATGGGGTAACAGATAATAGATAATTATCCTAATACCTGATTGGAAAAAGTCGACTTGTTTTATATCTATTCACGTTTTGACGGCACCGTTTTTGGCAAATTGTAAAATGCCTAAAAATAATCAGTCACAACATGATATATATTTTTCTGTTTTTGTTTTGCCGGCATTTTATCAGTTTGCCTGAATTGTTGTCGGCATAATGAAAAGTTCATTTTATGCTTGCGTTTTGCCGGCTTTTTGTAAAATACCTAGGCATTTCAGGAAAAGCCTAAATTTGCATTATGCCTACGACATATACATGATTTTATGTACGATTCTGACTGGTTTTTGTTAAAAATTAAAAAAATTGAATGAAAAAAGTAAAATTCGCGTAGGTATACCTGTTTCACCTTGGCAGGTTGTCAGGACCTGTTTCACTTTGGCAGGTTGTCAGGACCTGTTTCACCTTATCAGGTAGTCCAGGTAGGCAATAAAGTAGCACTTTATTTTACTAGTAAAATAAAGTAGCATTTTATTTTACTAGTACAATAAAGTGCTACTTTATTGACGCAAAACTGTTCTATAAATAGTACTTTATTGGTCAATCGGACATAATAGTAGATTATACCACGAGTCAAAAATGATAGCTATTATTCCCGAGGATTATTACGAACTGAGCCGCGTTAGCGGCGAGGGAGTAACATTCCGAGGGAATAATAGCCATTATTGCGAGTAGTATACTCTACTTTATTTACGACAAATTAATTAATTTGAGATTTTCAATGAACAAATTTCATCCGTCTCATAATTTTCAATACAAATCCACAAGCACTACACGTTTGACACTGACACTTTTGTGGAATAATGACCATTAATCCCGCTACTCGTCATTAATCCCTGGAGGAATAACATATGTCATTATACTGCCAAATTCACAAATATAATAGGCACATTATACATTAGTCGTAAATAAAGTTCTTTTTAAGATCGCATTTATTTATCATGAACCATTCATCGTCACTAGATTTTCTAGAATAATTTTTTCGGGGCTATGATAGGGTCATTGGACCCAAACTCCTCAAGCCACTATAAGCCAGATTGGATTTTCCAGCCTCCAACTAATTATTAATCCAATTGAATAATAAGGAACTATCACACACTCGAGATCAAAAGCTAGTGCAAACATAGCACAGAAGAGAAAAAAAGGTTAGAGCATAGAAAATGGCTCACTCTGCAAAGTATCCAATAACAAGTTTGTGTGAATGAAGTATGTGTAATGTCAAAGCAAACAAAGTGTCCATTTGACACTCTCAGATAAAAAGGCAAGACGAGTTTTGGGAACAGTCTCCGCACTGACCTTTGTGGACCTATAAAGCCAGTTATACACGACGGTAAGTTATATTTTATGACATTTATAGGCCATTATTCACATTTTTATATCACATATTGGTATGTTGCGATGGTAGAGGCAAATTTCAACATGCATATTGAAAAATTGAGATGTGACAACGGAGAGGAGTACATATGGACCGATTTCAAAAATATTGTGTGGAAAAAGACATTAGAGTTCAATACACAGTGAGGTATACTCCGGAAGAAAATGGAGTAGCCGAACGGTTTAACCGTACTTTGATGGAACAGGCAAGGTAGGTGTTTAATTTTTGATTCAGGATTGGATAAAGAAATGTGGGAAGAAGCGGTTAGAGCAAGTTGCTATCTTATAAACAGGGGCCCGATTCTCGTCCCAGGGAGTAGAGCTCCCCAAGAGAATAAATGTTTCATCTTTATCATTCTCGTTTACTATTCGATTACGTTGACAAGGACAAAACATTCGTTTTATAGGGGAGCTATACTCCGTAAGACGAGAATCGGGGCTCAGATTAGAGAAAAAAACTTTGGAAGATCACAAGACACCAGTAGAAATTTGGAATAATAAGAAACCTAATTTAGACAAAATTGAACTGTTTGAATGCACAAGACACAGCATACAGTCATGTACCGAAAGAAATAAGAAAAATCTGTATGTGTAAGTTCAAGTGTCCAGCAGTTTATATGATAATGAACAAACTTAAGTTTATAATCTACGTCAATGTCATTATAGAATTGATCATGATCACGTGGAAATTAATAAAAAAACTGCAAAAACTAGGGAAAAGACCACATAAGAGTAAAGCACAAAGTTTAAGTGTGCACATACATATGTCTACAAGAAGGCTACTAATCCTCAATGACAGATTAACAAATCATCAGACCCAAATATTCGCCTTGGTTTCTACGAATTTGGAAATCTTCAAGAAAGAAAATTGCTTGGAAAAATAAAATGGCACATTCTAGTGAACAAAAAAAAAAAAAAACATTAAAAACAAAAAAAACAAATATTCAATTGAAAACATAACGAATTTTCTGGATAAACTTGGTCTTAGTAGATGCCAATAATTACCACCTTGGATCTTCAAGTGGATATCATCTAACAAAACATTAATTGCTTTGTGTATATGAATCTAGAATCTAGCATTTCAATACAGGAACAAAAAGTCTACCTATACAAAATTTTCCAAGGGCAGAAAGAATCCGGACATTAAATACAAATGGTCCAGTTTTTTGGACACTTTTGATAAGAAAGTTTGCTTCAAAACATCTCATCAACCTATACTCTGCAATGAGGTTTTCGTACAGTTGCAGTGGGGCAGTGCGTATCGAAAGTTCAGCCATCGTGCGTGGAGAATCCTCACCACCCATCGAAAAATTAAATATCCTTCATGCAGTTCATATATTTGATAACGCTTGGTTACTAGCTTTGTTATCCAACACAGCAGGAAACCGTACAAAGTACCGTCACGATTCTGCCGTAAAACCTTAAATTTGTGCGTAGAATCCGAAATTCGTATACTGAGTGGTTTCGAAACCGTTCATGGGACAGTTTTTTGGCGTGTTGGAAGAGACCTACTCTACTGTCAAGACGTTGGATGGGGACAAAACTTCTCATGAGATGGGCGGCATCATGTGTCATCTATACAAATCACTGACGTTAGTTTTTTATATACATAAGATGTTCCAAGTTGCTGGAGAAATCCCGCCCTCACCACCAGACCTATTATGGTGGAGAAGTGGTCTCACACTGCTCAAGTACCGGGATGGAATGGCTTCATGGAGCAGGTAACAGAAAACCTTCAATTCAATCATCTCAAGATTGTTTTTCTTCCATTCGTTCATGCTTCACCTACCGACTACGATACCGTCATGAGGGCTCTGCTTTAGGCCAATCAAAAAAGTAGAGCTTATTCCCAGGAAACCTGCTTCGTCACTTTCGAGCAACCCCTCTGTATGAAAGCCCTGGACATTGTTCAAAGCTACCCGCTTGCTGAGTTGAGCAGTGTGGTGGTGCGTCTTGGTGGCTTCCACCTGTTAATGCATGGGCGTCGTTTGGGGGGGGGGGCATTTGCCCCCCCTAGAAA